TGCTCCAATCCGGGCATTGTCCCTGCTCCCCGGTGTGGTCGATGGTGAGGCCAGAACAGTTGATGTCTTCATCCCTAACCTCTTCCCACCCAATGGAACCCAGGATCGGACTCTCCTGGCTCCAGAGTACTAATTAAGAACAACTTAATGAATGATCTCTAAGTGAAACACATGCCAGCGGGACACTAAAGCTATAGGGGAAGGGGGAAGTGGGGGTGGGAGACTCCTCGGGCTCTCCCCCCATCACTGTCCCTTCTTGTAGGCGCTTTTGATGATGGCATTTTTGAAGAGAGTCACTAGAGGGGTCTGGCTGTGCTCTGAGGTCATGAAGCCTCCATAGCGCTTGTCCTTCAAGGGCGCGTGCCAGCGGAAATGGCGCATGCGGTAGGAGCCACCGGCTGCCTTCTCCTCCTCCTCCTGGCCTTCCTCTTCCTCCTCCTCTTCTTCCTCTGGCAGCGTCCCGGTGCCGCCGAGCGCCAGCTCCCGCCTGAACTCCAGCGGGTAGCTCTCGGCCGACTCCTCCTCCACCCCGTTGGGATAGACCTTGATGGGTCTCCTCTTGCGTCCCACTGGCTTTCCCCAGCGGAAGTGCTCCATGGAGTAAGAGCGTTTGCCTTCCTCTCGCTCCAGCCCAGTTCCCTCCTCTTCCTCGTGGTGAGGCGGCGGAGTGAGGGGCAGCGATGCCGGTGGTGGGTTACCCCCCGCCGCCACTGCTGCTGCCTCCTCCCGTTTGTGCCCCCCACCACTGCTGCTGTTCCTCCGGCCGAACTTGTTCCAGCGAAAGTGGCTCATGACGTACTTGCGGATGCTCTCGGAGAGGGGCTGGAGGTGTCCATTCCCTGGGTAGACAGGTGCCTCAGCTGACAGGTCGGCTCGGCACGCTGCGGCGCACGCCTGCATGGGAGGAGAGAGATGTACGGGAAGGGTGGGCCCATGGCTGGGGGTCTCCGGGTGGGAGTCGCTGGGTGCTGCTTGCACCAAGTGGGATAGTTCACGAGATGGTTTCATGCTTGTGCTCCCCTGAAGTCCCCGTACAAGTGCCACCCCCTTGGCAGGAAGCTTCAAAGGCTGAGCCCCAAGCGTCCTGCCCAGGCATCGAAGCAGCCCTGAGTGGCTGGAAAAACGATGGTGGGAGATGCTCAGCCTCCACTGCAAGGTTGCTGGAGCAAACCCAGAGCCTTCCCAGCGTCCACCCCCACCGCCAGCGAGAGTAGGGCACGCTCCGCTGGCACCCTTGGGCACGGGGGTGAAACCGTGAGGAGGGAGCCCATGAACTCAAAACCTTCTTTTAGCATCACCCCCCGCAGTGTGAAACCAGGAGGCACGAGGCCACCAAAACCCATGGGTGGTGGGGCATTGCCCTGTGTTGATGCGGGTCACCCCATGGTGCTGGCGTCTCTGGCACCTCCTCCCCCAGCCCACCACGCTGGTCCCGGGGTCATCCCCGGCCCCAAGCTTACCAAAATGCTGGCTTCGCTGGCAAGGTCCTGGCATTTGGTGCTCTCCCAGCACGGGTCGCTGGCGCCGGCGTGGTGCCAGAGCAGCAGCCCCAGCACTGTGAGAAAGGTGAATTGCAGAA